CAACCATCCCCTTAATTTTACATTGCTTGGCAACATTCAACACTTAGATGTTTCAGCCAACTTTTTCCAAGGTCCAATACCTATATTTTTCCAAAACATGACTTCCTTGATATTTCTTTATTTTTCTGGCAATCAATTGAATGGGAGTATTCCAGATAGCATCGAGCAACTTTCTAAGTTAGAGATAATAGATCTTTTTGACAATCAATTGAGTGGGAGTATTCCAAATAACATCGGGCAACTTTCTAAGTTAAAGAGAATTTATCTTTCTGACAATCAATTGAGTGGGAGTATTCCAGATAGCATCGGACAACTTTCTAAGTTAGAGAGAATTGGTCTTTTTGACAATCAATTGAGTGGGAGTATTCCAGATAGCATCGGACAACTTTCTAAATTAGAGAGAATTGGTCTTTTTGACAATCAATTGAGTGGGAGTATTCCAGATAGCATTTGGCAACTTTCTAAGTTAGAGAGAATTGATTTTTCTAACAATCAATTGAGTGGGAGTATTCCAGATAGCATCGGGCAACTTTCTAAGTTAGAGGAAATAGATCTTTCTAACAATCAATTGAGTGGGAGTATTCCAGATAGTATCGGGCAACTTTCTGAGTTATGGAGAATAGATCTTTCTGGCAATCAATTAAGCGGGAGGATTCCAAATAGCATCGGACAACTTTCTAAGTTAGAGATCATAGTTCTTTCTAGCAATCAATTTGGAATAGGATTTCCTGAATGGCTTGAATTACAAAAGACAGCAATCATAGTTGATCTCTCTAATGCTAGCATCTCAGGTCCTCTTCCAAAAAATATAAGTCTTATGATGCCAATGTTGAATGGATTATATCTTGCAAATAACCTCATGAACGGTTCAATTCCAAAGTCACTATTCAATTTAAAATATTTGCTAGACCTTGATCTCTCAAATAATATGTTATCTGGAAATATTCCAAAGTCACTATGCAATTCAAAATCTTTGGGACTTCTTGATCTCTCAAAAAATATGTTATCCGGAAATATTCCTAATTGTTGGAGAAACAATCAATCATTCAATTATATTGATCTATCTTCTAACAATCTCTCGGGTTTATTTCCGAGCAAAATGGCACGACTTTCTTCTTTAATTATACTGCAGTTGAACAACAACAGTCTCCATGGGGGATTACATGTGGCCTTGAAAAACTTCCCTTTTTTAGTGATTTTGGATTTGGGTGAAAATACATTTTCTGGAAATTTAACAAGCATTGTAGGGAGCAAGATCGGCAACTACTCTTTAAAGGTTCTTCGATTACGAAAAAATTTGATTTCCAGTTATATTCCTTTGGAACTATGCTCTCTCTCTCATTTGCAAATTCTAGATCTTGCAGATAACAATCTAACAGGAAGAATTCCTCCTTGTTTTGGAAAGTTTCTAACTATGGTGAATGCAACGCAATTGATCTATGAGAGCGACAATGTAAATTGGGAACTTGCAACTTTGATGGAAGTTGTTAAAGGGAAATACCTTGAGTATAAAAGCAAACCTCTAAGATTTGAGACTAGTATAGATCTTTCGAGTAACAATCTAATAGGATCTATACCAGAGGAGCTAATTTCCCTCAAGGATTTGCATAATTTGAATCTGTCTTGGAATCATCTCTCAGGACAAATCCCTGAGAAAATTGGACAAATGGAGAATTTGGAATCTCTCGATTTCTCTGAGAATGGCTTCTCAGGAACAATCCTGAGTAGCATGTCAGGTTTAACCAAGTTAAGCCACCTCAACTTGTCCTACAACAACTTGTCAGGGCCAATTCCAACAGGTTTTCAGCTCCAAACACTTGAAGATCCAACCATGTATGTAGGCAATCCTCAACTCTGTGGAGCTCCACTCGTGAAGAAATGCTTAAGTGATGCACTACCTCCGACAACCGCCGACTTCAAGGACAATGATGAAAGTGCACTTAAAAGAATGTGGTTTTACATTATCGTGATGTTAGGCTTTGCAATTGGATTTTGGGGAGTTGTGGGAACTTTGATTTTCGTGAAAAGTTGGAGATATGCTTACTTTCAATGGGTGGATGACGTCGCACACTGGATACTTGTGGTTATAACATTGAAGGTGGCATGATTCAAAAAGATGTTCAATGGCAACCCAAGATGATCAATGAATTATATATAAAGTATGTTGTTGTTGCTACATTTATTATTAAGTTAGTTAGACAACCTCATGTTGTAAGGTATGGTGTCAGGTCCAACTTTAAATGGTCCAATATTGAATAAGCCAATTTTAAATGAACACATAAGGATTAAAGCTTGTAAAATTTTCGATAATATAACATAGGCTATAGTTCCATACGTTTCACAAAAATCAAAATACATAGATTCTAACAAAAAATAGAGAATTCTATGCAAGGCTTTTAGATTGCATGGATTTCTATCTTTCCAATTTTGTTTAAAAAAAAAAAAAGAAGAAGCAAAAGATGAGAGAATGAGATAGGAAGAATGACTCAGTTAAGTATACAATAATAGCCAAAATAAAGTCCTTACATATTCATGGTCAAAGTTTGGAACTTTCAATGACACACAATCAAATCACTCAATTGAGTATCCAATATAATGCTACTCTTAATGTAAAATTCCCATGTCTTCAATATTTCCTAAAAGACATTTTCACATTGCATAAGGCATATCAATTATAGGCTCATAAAACATTGTCAAGGCTAAATAGTGAAGTCCGTTACCTTAGTTTAACCATGAATAATGAACTGATTCTTGCAACAAAAAATGAAACACAATTGATCATTTGTTATTTTTAATTTTTTTTCAACACTCGATATATAAAAAGCCTAAAAGCTAAAGCACACAATGTAGAAGAACCTGGATAACCTTCAAGAGTAAAAAGAATATCCACAGAAGAATAAAGATTAATACCTTGTGTTGCCTTTCTCCCAACAAACCATCTTTGGATAAAGGCATTAAAAAACAGTATATCTAAGTGAGAAAAATATATAGATAATTTTGATGTTTTTCATTGGGAAGATGATGTTGGTAGATTTTTGTGATAGAAAAATAAATATAAAGGTGGTGTTTTGTGGCCAAACCTTGAGTCTTCTTCATTCTGCACACTCATGAAGGTGCAAATGCCACCATAACAACTATGAAATGACTAACATGTTTCAACCTGCAAAAGGAGTTATATTAAGAAAATTATACAACTAAAGCTACAGGAAACCTATGAAATAAGATTGCCATTCTCCATCATGTACATGCTAACATAATACATGTGTAGTTAAATTGTATAGCAAATTCTACTACTTAGACAATATTCCCAGAGTAAACAACTCTCACTTCATATTTTTATTTCCATTTCCATCTATACTACTTATAAAAGAGTTTGAGATTTTAAGTTCAAAAGTCTTAAATTCAAATTTTTGAAACAAACCATGAGGGTGAAAAGAGATTTAGAAAATGAGAAATAATTATCCCCTTTTGTATTAATAGGGAAGATGAAGAAGAAGAAAATTGAAAGGGCAAAAAGATAAATACAATTCATTGAAGAAATTTAAAGAAAATGAAATGAACTCACAACAGCCAGCCAATTGGTTAAGGCAGAGTTGGTAAAGAGGAAGAAGAAGACTCATACCTTATACTAAAATGTGAAAAGCTTGTAGAATCACAAAATGAAAACCTAAATACCTCAAAAGCTGTCTGTTTTCCAAACACCATCTTTCCAATCATCAATTGAAGACCATCAAAAGTTGATCTATGCTCACCCTTGAAGCAATGTTCAAGCATTTTATATTTGACTTCAAAGGCAAGAATTGTTGAATTAAGCCTACTTAAAATTAGTTCATGTTCTCATTAAAAAAAAAAATGCTAGTACATGTTGATTCCTTGCAAATTTGAATTTACAATCATCTCCTCCTCTTAAAACTCTAATAACCACGAATAGCTAAGAAAAAGAAATTTTGAAATAAGATGAAAAATACCCATGTCAATCCATTATATCATATCAACTTCCCATCTCAAAGTTTTATTGCATTTGGTTGTCCCTATCTTCCAATTAAAAGAAATTGTTCCTAACTATGAAAGCAAAACATTGTACATGGTTCCAAACTCATCTTGTTAACATAAATAAGTTCTATTATTCAACATTTCAAGCTTAATATCTAACAAATTAAGCTCATAATCTTAAACCAAAACAGCTCTAGATGTTTTGTCTACACCAAATTTGATTTTACTAATCTATTGTTTCTTGTTATCATTAACATAAAAAGAAAAGAAATTAATTCAAAACCTCTATAATGGATTTCGATTTTGAAGTTAGATTGAATAATAGAGTAAAACATGAGTGTGAACATTCTTTATCCTAGGAAAAGAAAACAATTCAAAACCAACAAAGATGAAGTTATGTTAGTATGCTATAAATTTTAAAGTCATGAATTGTAAATTAAGTTGAACTCTAATAAATTTCAAATCAATCTAATCTTTATATCCATCTAGCATATAAGTAGGGTACATAATTTGAAGAAAAAATATATAATTATATAATTTCAACTCATCAACTATCAACATCCTATTTTAAATGAAAAATAAAATCCAATACAAATTATTCCTTCATTATGAAAATCATATGCTTTTCAATTATGATGCGTAAGAAACAATAATATCCCTTCTCTTCATCAATCATTGTTTTGTTTAGTCATGTATTTAGACTCAATCATATCAATGATAACTTTTGAAATTTGCCAAATTAATACTTTCCAAGCCAAATTAGAAAGCAAGGATAGTTTTCCCATTAACTAAATAAATTTATAGGTTGAAATCAATAGCCATTATAAGTTCCATGAAATGGATAACACTAGGTATTACATAAACATACCTTTGAAAGAGAAATGCCCAATACTTCTTCCTAAACAATGGCCAACATCTAAGTTTCCTTTATTATCTTCTTTCCTAATTTGTGTTGCAAAACATTCTAAATGTCAAAATAAGGAAACACTTATTAAACAATTTCAACCATATACAATAATTATGCATCAAGCATTATGGTCTATGATAACAAAATCAAAATAAAAGATTAAAAAAAAAACAATTAACAAGTCCCAACCGCCTAAGTTGAAAATCCCATATCCAACATTTCCTTTGCAACCCAAAAAAAATAAAAAAAAAAGAATGTGAAAATCGCTTATAAAAGAATTTCAAGAGCTGTAAAAATAACTACAGAAGCAAGGAAAACACCATATCCCTTATTGGGATAAAAACATTTTGAAATATTAGGATCAATCTTTATTGATGCAAAATTAATCCATTGCTCAAAGTGGTCCTAAAAAATGAAGAAAATATATCATAATAAAAATTGTGTAACACAACAAAATTTACTCAAACATCTTTTGAATACAAGAATTAAAAAGATATTAGGATGATAAAAGGTCTTATATAATCAATTAAAGTAGAACCATAAAAAGGAATGTCAACCTTCAAGCTGGTAATTGTAACAAACCGAATAAATCTCATTAGTTTTGATGAAAATCATCAAAGGACTACAAAGGACTAGGGGGAGGGAGGGAGAATTATTCTCACCACAACAATCAATGGAATTATGACTAAATATTGTTGTTTTGCAACATCTCTAACTGAGACAAATACCTTTCCAATAGGGTTCATCTTTAGAAATTAGGAGCTTTGTTTGATACACCTAACTTAGAATTCTCAACCAGTTTGACATCCACACCACTGTACCTTGCAGCAATGAGTGCTTTAAATGGTTCTGGATGATTAATTGCTTCAAATATACTAACCACATAAAAAGTACGGATAAATAGATTAAACAATTCAATAACTACAAAAATCATAATAATTAACCATAAAACCTTAACTCTCTCATACAATTAACAACCAAACATTAACTTCCTAAGGAACTTCTCCATTAAAATTGATCTTGTTCATCTAAACATACTTTTATATAACTCATTTGCTATTATTAAAATGTTAAAATTTCTCCAATCATGTTAAAGAGTATAGGTAAACAGATTAAGCAATTCATGTACAACTTGCCTAGCTCAACCTCAAGTGAGCCACACATAGGTCTGACCAAGATCAAGCAAATATTTTTATGGCATTATATGGATTTTCACTTTTTTTTATTTACTATTATTAAAATGCTAAAATCCTACCCTCCCCTGCTACACTCATTTTTCACCTCTAATCCCCCAATTGGGTTGCCTAAGCAGAAGTGGAAACAACTCCAACATTAATGACACTATTGCTTTAGTTGTAAATTGATAATAACTATTTCATCTTTGATTTCAAGTTTCAACAGAAAACATCATAAATATATCAAATATCTTTATCAACAAAAATTATCGAATTTCAAAAGAAAAATCAAAATTAGAAGAAAATAGTAGGAGACCCAATAAAAAATAATAAAACTTCAAGACAAAGAGAACCTGGGTTTAGGCCAGTGATTCCAGTGAAAACGGAGTGGAACTCCTCCGTTAGAGGTCCACGCCTCAACAATGCTTGGATGAGTGCGGTGCTTCTAGTTCAGCACGACCATTGTCAATTTAATTTAGGGAAATAATAATAGAAAATCAGAAAAAAAAAAAAAAAAAAAGAATTGCAAAGATAGTGATGAAAAGAATTGTCAACCCTTTAACATTCATTTTAGCATAATTTCTGCACAACATCTACCTTCGAGCTTTTTCCCATCACCAACTATCCACTTACTCGCCTTAATCTTCATAATCCAATGACTTTGCTATCTCTTTTAGATCTAATTGTCTAGGGGAAACGTGATTCAAGTACGGTAGGAGAAGTAGAGAGAATAGGAGAAAGGAGAGAGCGCCAAAGGGGAAAGGAATTGGAATGGACAAGGAAAGGAAAATGGAAGAGACAAAAACGCTGAGAAAAATATGAACATGTTAATTTTATATTTTTATTAATTA